TTTTTTTGTTGGTTAACAGGGGTGGGAGGGGAAAGGAGGAAATACTGCAAAAAAATAAAAATGCATTGACCCATGTCACTTTAGTTTTGTGTATTTCACTGTACATAAATATTTCAATAAAATGCATTAAAAAGAAAGAACAGAAAAAAAAGTGACTTTGTTTTAATATACCTAAAAGTACTAACAAAATGTTATAATTGAAAGAGGCAAGTAAATTTAATTTCTTCATCTTGAACATGATGAAACTGAAGCAGAAAGACAAGCTAAAAGGCTTACATTAGAGCCAAAGGTATAAGTCAAGAGTGTATTATCAGTTATGGAAACATCATTACATTTAATATTTTCAATCAAAATCCTGTTTCAGACAAATATTCTACTACTAGTTAGACTGAACAATAGTGTACTGTTACAGAAAGTGAGATCTACTAGATGCTATTTAAATCTAAAAAATGAAAAAGTTAGACTTTTAAATTTAAATTTAATACATCAATTTTCTTACCAGCATGGTGCTCTGACAATAAACATGAGTGTAGATTTTTCTATGATTTGCAAGAGGAAATGTAAAATATATCTTATCAGATTCCTAAAAAAAAAAGAGAGAAAAACACTTCATACAACTATCATAAGAGTAGATAATTTCATAATTGAAAAATCTAGATAAAAAGCAAATGAGTAGTACTCTACCACTCATGGTATTGTTGAGAATCAATATTCTAGGAATGGGAGGAAGAATATATATGTAAAAGAGATGATATAAAATATGTTTTCCAGCTCTGCTTAGCTAAAGGTAGAAGAGGCCTAGAAATGCCAACCCAGTATTTTTTCTGATGAAAGTCAGAAGGGATTATACCTAAGAGTGAAGAAAAAAAAATCTTCACAACTAGATTGATAGACAACATCATGATAAATGGAGAAGATACTGAAATTGTCAGCAATTTCATTCTAGTCAGATCAACAATCAACATCTATGAAAGCAGCTGTCAAGAAATTAAGATATATTGCACTGGGAAAATCTGCAAGAGACCCCTTTAAAGTTTTAAAAAGCAGTGATGTCACTTTCACAATAAATGTGCATCTGACCTAAGTCACGGTCTTTTCAATCATCTTGTATGTATGTTAAAGTTGGCTAGTGAAAAAGGAAAACAGGAGAACTGATGTGTTCCAACTGTGGTATTGGTGAAGAATATTAAATATATCATGGGGTACCAAAAGGATGAACAAATCAATATTAGAAGAAATACAAAAAGAATGTTCCTTAGAAACAAGGATGATAAGTCTTCAATTTGCTGACTTCAAGTATTGTCATCAGGAAAGACTACTTGCTAGAAAAGGGTATCATGTCTTCTTGGTAAAGGAGAGGATCAGCAAAAACAAAGGATATTCTCAGACAGACTAACATAATAACCACAATCATGGCCTCAAACATACCAAGGATAAGGATCATGAGTACGAGGATAGTGTAGGACCAGGCAACGTTTCCTTCTGTTATACAAGGGTTGCCATAGCCTACTTGATGGCAACTAACAAGAGTGACCAGGTTATAATTTTAGCATATTGGTTCCCATACAAAAGGAATCCTTGCTTGAAAAACAGGAGATTCAAAATCTGGGGCAGGAAATGTACAAAATGAGCTAAAATATCTTGACACATTGGATAACAAAGAAATTACCGAAGACAACCAGGAGCTATAACAGAAAGACTCAGGAGCTAAACGTGAAATGCTTTCCACTAGCAATGATGGAATAATTTTAGTATCAATTGACTGATAAACAAATATGTTTAAATTAATGAGTTCATAACGATACTGGAAAAAATAATCCAACCTCTAAATGGTTACTGATGGACAATGTCTTCAAACCAAACTAACTATTCTGATAACCAGTAAATAAATAAAAGATCTAAACAATTATTCTTTTCCTTAATGATATGAACCAGTTTTAAGAAATTTAGTGGATGAGGGAAAGTTTTTCTACACACTGTGTTCCAATTAATTAATGAAGATGGAATAGTAAAACTAGCATATCATTATTTTGTATCCCCTAATGAATTAATGATTCCAGGCACTCTTCATCAATTGCTGGTAACATCACAAAGAGAGAGATTGTCTAGCATGAATCTGAATTTGATCAAGTCTCTAGATCCAACTAGTAATTCACAGGGAAATAGTGGGCAAAGGAACATGTTGAATGACAGGAATGCAATCAGCAAAATTTAGACCATGTGAAGCCCCACAGGATACATGACTTGATTTCTTCAATAAATAAATTACAAGGGCAAGAAAGGGGAGAAAGAAGTATATATAGATGAAAAGAATTGAATAAGGGACATATCACTCAGTAACAATGTGTGGACCTTGCTTGGATCCTGAATTAAACAAACTAAAAACCAAAAAACAACAAAGAACTTTTACCAATTATAATAAAACTGGAATTTGAAACACTAACTACATACTTATTAAGGAATTTCTATTAAAATTTTTTTAAGCAGGAAAATGTTGCATGTGTGTTTTAGAAGAGTCTTTAGCATTTAAAGATAAGTACTAAAATACTTATGGAAAAAAGTTAAAAAGAATCCATTTGCAAAATACTTACATTGTAAGCCACATAGGTCCATTTGGACACTTTTACTGGAACCCACATAGATGTCCCTAAAGTAAAGGAAATTCATTTACTTGGCAGTTTTTTTATATCAAATAATCTCTTTCTTTTTTTGAATGCTGATGGAAATATTTCCCAATCATAACAGGGCATTAAAAAGGAGGCTATGTTAAACATCGGCTATTTAAAACAGAATATATAGTGAGATGTTCTTTATATGCTCATCAACAACCAACATTCAC